TATTTGATTACAGTTAGTTTATTTTGATTACATGAAACAAGTTTCTTTCTCATACTTTCAATGTGAGCTTCAATAAGATTTTGTTTTAAATTGGTTTAGGTTGCAACATATTAAGATATTATTCTGATCTGTATAAATACAAGTTACATTACCCCATATTATAAAAAATTTTCAAATTAAGTTTATCTTGATGCAATGTTTCAAATATTACCACTAAAGAGGATGTACATGGATAACAGTATGCTCCGTTTCAATCTGTGAATAAGCTAACCACAAGTATTCGAGTAGCCATTTATGTAAAAATAATCGTTTTTTTCTTTTCACCGGAAACAGGAAAAAAAAAGATGAGTTTAGAATAAATATTTTTTAAACTAGATCCAACAATAAAAAATCAACAGCATTTAAATGTCTACCTCGCTCATAGTAAGTAAAATTATCATAAAAAGGAAGACTTAAAGACTGATCTGATGTACTATGAACACAGGAAATATTATATTAGGAGTTACATTAACATTTAAACCCTGTGATTTTAGTTTTATTTTATTTGCAAATTCTTTATTGATATTAAACGAATGCTATTTTTGTTTTACTAAAGAAATTTTTTGGAGGTTGACAATTTAATTTAAGAATTTTAGCAGTAACAAAAGATTGTGACAGAACACTTGGTATAACTGAACATGATCCTTTTTTCAAACCACTTTTAAAATTTATTTTTAAACTTAATAAGTGACAAAATGATCACACGCCTATATCTTTGGAAACAGAAAAATATTCTGTGTTTCAGCATATATACCTAAAGTTTCTTTATAAATTTTATGATTAACTTGTGTAAAAATACTGACATTGATTAACTTTTTATATTTCTCGAGGCCGAATTCAAAATATATAGACCAAATTTTCTTATTTAACACTGTAGAGAGCGCAATTAAACAAAGAAAACATAACAAATTTTTGTTTCTACAATTATCTTAGGCTTCTTTTTTCAAAAGATCATAAGTATTTATGTCTTTATTTTCAGAAAAGTAATCAGAAAACTCAAATGAAACACATGACATAAAAATACTAGATAGTGAAGAAATTCTTTTAAATTTTACCTGATTTAAAATGATTAGGTATGCTGAGTAAAACGTTGCATCTTTAAATATATTAATTTAAGTTAGAAACAAAAAATCTCATGTGTTTTATCTGGTGAGTTAATCAATAGTTTAGCAAAACTGTATAATTTTGCTGTTCTATTAAAAGTTTTTAATTTCAACTAATGAGAGTCCTATTGATAGGTTTTAGTTTCAACTGACTTAATAAATTAAAATGTAAGTTATTATATATTTCTTTTTTCACTGGAATAAAAGCTTCCATTTTGAAATTTCTTAAAGACTTGTATTTATAGCATTCACGTTTTATTAAACACTTTAAGATTACTACAAAGTTTTGCCTTGTTTGTGTAAATACTAGTCAATTCATAAGCTTTAATGCCATTTGAAATTAATGAGTCCATAACTGCAAATAAAAAGTGACTAAATGTATTCAAAATTACCATAAACGCTAGGGTTAAGTGTTTACCTTATTTTTGTTTAATTTAGCTTCATTTAAATAGTTAAGTCATTATTCAAAATTTTTTCGCTTTAGGTACGGTAAAAAAAGCAAATCCACATAATTAACGTTTGATTAAAAGAGTTCACTTGGTCAATTTTCATTGTAAAAGGATTCCTAAAACATGTATCAAAGTGATTTTTTTAAGCATAACGGAGAAGAGCTACTACTTATTTTGTTTTGCTTAAACTCCTCAAAACAAAAGCCATAGATGTTTTGAGGAGTTTAAGCAAAAAAAGCCATAGACAGAATAAAATGTTTAATAAAAATTTACATAAGTTTTATTTGCATCGTCATTAAAACTTATGTGCTTCAGATGAAGCAGTGATTATTGTTTTTTAAACTGTTAAATATTGTTTATATTATATATGCGTTTACTTATTTTATTATTAGTTTTGATTTTAATTTTAGAATTTGAGTTGAATGATAGAAATATTAGAAAATGATCAGTTATATCTGCTTTCAATATACCTTTTTGTATATTATTATTGAAGACATCAGTTGTAATAATGTTGTCAATGAAAGTTGCTGAGTTTGGTGATACTCTAGTAGAGTTCCACGCGGTTATTAAAACAAATCTCGTTTTAAAAAATAAAAATAATAAATTTTTTTTTCCATTACTATAAGTATATAGTCTTAAATGTTAAAAAAAAAAAATTAAAAAAAAAAAAAAAAAAATTGAACAAGCTATTTATAGATTTTAAAGTAAACGGAAAAAGTATAATTTCATTTAAGAAAAAGTGTTTAACTTTCATTATTTTTTTAAAATCTTGTAGTGATCCAAAATTTTTCTAATTAGTTTTAAATTGGTCGGCTGCAAAGCTGTTTTAATATGTTAAGGTACTAACATTTAGTTTTTAGTTATTTCACGCGATATAAGCAAAATAGTTTTTTACACAATCATGATGCCATTTAAAGATATGGAACCACTGCGATATAAGCAAAATAGTTTCTTACACAATCATGAACCATATAAAGATATGAAACCACTGCAGAAACCAGTTGCTTGCGCATCCAATGGAAATAAAAAAGGTGAGCATTATGTTTTTATAGAGTTTTTTAATAATTTTTACATTTATTTGAATGTTTACTTTTTTTATTATAGCCATAAAGATAAAAAATAGAAAAACAATAAATCAAAAGAATTACATGAGTAGAAATCATTCAAAGCTAAAGAAAATGCTAGACTTTGAAGACAAAGATGGAAAAAAGATTTTCGAAAAATTGCAGCTGGAAGATTAAAAAGTTTAGAAAGAATGAGAAAATTTCGACAGCGACAAAAAGACGCATCTTTATCTCTCAAATCAAATCACTCATCATTTGCAAATGTGCAAGTTAAAGGAAAGTATATAAAAAAATTGAATCGCTCTCTTCTCAAAAGTCTTGTTTAGAAAAATGAACTGTTGTGTTGTTTACTCAATGAAACTCAGCCATTAACTTACTCAATTCCTAAATCAACAAACAGTCTCCGAGAAAAAGACTTAGTGGTTATACAAATTTTTTTTGCGACGATGAAATAAGTCGAATATCCCCAAGAACAGCAGATTATACTTCTGTAGTGATAGGAGAAAAAAAGGTGCGTGTTCAAATTCGACACATGTTAGATACGCTAAAAGAAGCTTTTGAAGAGTTTAAGCTAAACAATGCAGTTATTAAATGAGGCCTGTCAAAATTTTGTCAGTTGAGACCAATTTACGTTCGATGTGTATCATCAATTCCTCATAACGTGTGCGTTTGCATGTTACATGAAAATATGCGCTATGCTCTTATAATATCAAAGGAATAGAGGCGTCTAGACATTTAGCAGTGATCAAGTAATTTAAAAATCACCTTAAAAAGCTGTAAAAATTTCTTAATAAAAGCCATAAATAAATATTAGATTTGTTTTGTTTTGCGTAGCTGATTGTTGCGTAGCTGACTGCATGATTTCTTAAAACTTTTTTTGTTACCTGTTATTGTTGTTCTATTGAAAGTCTTACTTATTTTTTCAATACTTTTCAAGTTTTCTTGGGGTGACTTTTTTTGCGCAAATAAGCTCGGAAGGTTTATTCAGTTTATCCCTAATACATTTCGATCAACAACAACAGCTTTCACGTTTAAAGAACTTTTAGTTGATGCTTTTTAAATTATTTTAGTTGTTCAATTATTGTCCAAATACTTGATGCTTTTAAAGCTCTGAAGATCAAAGTTCCAAACTAAATGCAAGTAAAATGAATGTATTTATATACATCTTTGAGTTAAAAACGTTTATATAATAAGATTGTGAACAGATAAAAATATCAAGAGTACATTTAAAAGGAAATTGTATTACCTACCCCCTAGGTCCATTATTTAAAAAAGTGAAAGTACTGAAGCTTCTAAAGCCCCCTCCCCTTTTCCACCCCGGGGTCCAGGTTTCTTTTAATGTAAAAATATCTTTATAAACTTTATAAATAAATTTTATTGTTTCTAAATGCAAGCTATAAATTTAGTTTCAGATTTGTTTTGGGTTTTAATTTGAATTATAATAAAAATTCGCATGTTGCGTGGCTGATTGCTGCGTAGCTGACCGCATAGTTTTTTGACAACTTTTTATTTGACGTGTAATTAATATTATATTAAAAATTTTTTATAAATATAACTTCAATGAAATAATTGTTTTTGAAAAAAAAAACGTTTTTATAAAAAAATAAATTATAGATTCGTAGGAAAAAAAATTCAAACTTTAAATTAAAAAAAAAACTTTTTTGCGCGTTGCGTAGCTGACCGCTGTCTTTTATTTCTATTTTACTTAAATTGTCTTCTTATCCTTTTTTTTTTTTTTTTGTGAATAATAAGAAAAAAGGATAATTTGAGTGTAAACGTAAAAAAAAAATTTTAAATTATAATATAATGAGTCGGTTAAATTTTTAAAAACATGTTGCGCTCGTTGCGTAGCTGACCATAAAACTCTACTCTAGTTGGACGATTTCATATATTAAATCATAAAACTTTTTTATTTTAAAGTTATTGTTGTAGTTTAAAAAATTCATATTAAGATCGCAAAAAATAACTTTTTTTCTTTCTTTAATGTCTATTTTGATAACATTTTGCTCAAAAAACGAGCTCAGATTCTCACTCAGACCGTCAGGAGGTCGATAAAAGCAGCTTAGTAATACATTTTTTAGTTCATAGTTTAGGATTTTAATAGCTGGAATTACTTTATCGCTGTCAGAAACGCTTTAATCACTTTTAACGTAATGCGCAATGGTTTGCTTCACGTAAATAAGAACTCCGCCACCGCGTTTATTTGTATGTCTCTCTTAAGATATTAAATCAAAACGGGAAGAAAAAAATTAGCGTTATTACTTGAATCGTTTGTGTTTATCCAAGTTTCAGTTAAACAAATAATATTAAAAATACTTTTAGTTTCTTATAATAAGTAAAGGAGCTTTTCAAAGTTGCGACTTTTGCTTCTAATATTTACATAAAGGATTTTAAATTGTTCGCTATTATTGGAATTAAAAAGAGACCCTTCTATTTTACTTGGATAATAACAAAAACAATCATTATTTAAATCATGAAAATAGTTAGGGTCTTTTTTTGCATTTTTATCTATTAAAGTTTTCATTTTTGAAAAATTAAAAGCTTGATACTTAAAATCGCTAATTTCAGCCATTTCGGTGAGATTTAAAATTTCCTTTCATTTCCACGACTACGATATTTTAAATATGCATATCTTTAAGAAAAACTTAATCGAATTTAATTAATGCATATTTACCCTCTTTACGATGCCTTTAAACTTCTTTCCACACTTTTTGCAATGTTCTAGGGTTTCTTTCGCGTAATCTTCATTGATAAAAGTTCCAGTTTCTTTAAGTTTTTTTCACAAATCTTAAAATATTGCATTTATCATTATAATTTACGAGTTTAAAGACTATAGTTCTTGGTAGCTTGTCTTTAATTCTTCCTATTCGATGGGCTCGCTTAACCACTATATCATCGGCAATTCCAAGCGGGTTTTTAAAGATCTTTTTAACTGCTCTTGCACAGTCATCTCACGTTTTAGACGGTAGATCTGCAACACCATCAACTCTTAAATTGTTGCGGCGAGATCTGTTTTGTAGATCTATATTTTTTTTCCAAAGTATTTATTTCTTCATTGATCTTTAAATTTAATTGAGAAAGCATTACCTTGATATTTTCCTCTTTAAAGTTAATGCACTCCCTAATGTCGCAAGTATCTTTTACTAATATATCAACTCGGGATTTATTAGAACTAAGTTCTAAATCAAGTTTATCTAGTCTTTCTGATATTATTTTTATGTTGGAACTCATTATTTTTATAAAAGTTTCTTCTTGTATTTTTAATAGCTTTTCAGTTTATTTTAAAAACTTTTGCTTCTGATTTTCAAGCTTAGTTATATAAGTCTCCCAATATTTTTCATTGATAAATCCATCTTCCCACAATTTAAAAACAAAAACACATCTGAGGTGAGGTGAATTTTCAAAAAGCTTTTGTTACGGTTGATCACAAAGTTCTAATAAAAAAGTTAAACTACAACGGAGTACGTGGTATTGCTAATCATTGGTTTTCTTCATATATTACGGACGCACTTAGTTTTTTTCAATTAATGGATTTGAATCCACACATAAAGTTATTAAATATGGCGTTATTCGCACAATTTAAAAACAATAACACTTCACAATTTGAAAACAATAACACTCACCTTTAAATCAAAATTCAATCACCTTTCAAATTCGGCAACAACTTTAAAAGCAACTTTTACTTATATAAGTTTAAAAAAAAAGGAAAAAGAAAAAGAATTAAAAAAAAAGTAAATAAATAAATAAAAAAACAATCAGAATTTTTCAATCTCCAAATCTTTCAAGTTTCAAACTTTAAGAAATAGTTTGCAGCACTGCAACAAGTTTCAAAACAACTTTCAGACAGCTTTCAACCTATCGTCAACAAAGCAAACTTTCAACTTTCAACACAAACTTTTAACAAAAATATATCAAACAAACAAAACAACAAAACAAATAAAAAAAAAAAGGAACTTTCAGGAACACAACTTTCAACAACAAAAAAACACTCAGCAAAATTTCTTTCAAGCAACAAGCAAGTTTTTGAATAAATAATAAAAACGCAGCAAAACTTTTCTTCTTTCTTTTTTTAATCAATCCAATTTTTATTTTATTTTTTTTTTTTTTTTTTTTTTTAATCTCCAATCGATTTCTTTTACAACAATTGAAAACACATCTGTTCGCTTCCAAAATACAGCGCGGATTACTTAGCTATTCCACACCGATCATTTCTATAAATTTGATTTGTTTACTTCAATATTTTTGCGTAAAATAATTCATTTTAAAAAATTGCAGTAAGAGCATGACGATACTAATTAAAAGCCTTCCCGTCGCGAATACGTATTTTTGACTGGGGGCGGACTAAGTTACGGAAAACATAAAAAATAGCTAGAAAAGTTTGCAAACTAATCCATTATTTTTAGTTCGTTTACTAAATTTTAAAAATACTGCATTAATACAAAAAATGTCTATTGCAGTGTTTATTAAGAATCATCAAATTAAAAAAAAAATATTTTGAAAAAAAGAATAAAATACAATATTTTTCAGAATAATGAGTTGTAATTATTTAAAATCTAAATACAAAAAAATGAACAAACTTTAAAATAATGCAAAAAAAAAAAAAAAAAAAAAGGAAAAAAATATACTAATATACATCAAGTAAAAAGAAAAAAATATCAAAATATGCATCAATAATGTTATAAAAAATGAACATAATAATTTTGTAATGTTAAACAGATAACTTTAAAACCTTTAATGCTTGTGCTTTATTGGACATGGCTGATAAAAGCAAACAATAATTTTTAAGAAATTTGTTTGATAATATTGTACCATGTTTCTTTAATATATTAAATTAATAAATATCAGATATCGTCATAAAAGTATTACACAATGACTTTCTGCACATTTTGTTTTTCTCAATTTCAAAAATAATGTATGTTTAGTTAAAGACTTCATTCTATAACCTTATTCACCACTTATTTTAAATGCCTTATGTCCAAAATTAAGTAAGCACTGCAAATTTATCTTTAATTCTTTAAAATTTAAATAACTTAAAATTTAAATAACTCTTTTACAAGAATCTAAAAATTGCATATCACCATAAATTTCTTGTACACCAACAGTTTTCCAAAATTTAGTAACTTTTTCTAAAAAACAAATGGTTTCATTCATATTGTAAGGGTCGATAACTTTTGAATAATTTTTAAAAAAGAGCAGCTATAGTTTTGAATAAGTTTTAAATAAGAGCAGCTATAGTTTCATCGCAAAATACTCTTAAACATTGTGATACTTTATGTCTTTCAATGGGTTTTAGATGTATATCACAAATTTTAGTCTTGATAAGTGATCTTTCTCAAAATCTAAGATACATTTAAGGTCACTCCACTTAGCAGTCAAATTTTGGTCTTTTTCAAATTGTAATTCCTGCATTTTTTCTGTAATCCAGTTATTCTTAATTTTTTTTAGTAGGTGAACATAATCAAAAAGGAGAAAAATTCCACATTCTGTTAACCATGGTTTTTCTTTGACTCTCTCAACAAACTTAAAAAAAGCATGATTTTTTCGATTGCCATTACAAATAACTGAAATTACTTTTCTATAGCTAGTCTTAATTAAATCAATGGCAAAGCATACTTATTCAAACACAAAAGAAGCATCCCAATGACAGACAGGTATCATTTTACATAAAAAAGATGGTCCACCTTTTAAACAATTAACCATAATACCCAAAACACTATTTGCTAACAACTCTGGATTATTTTCCTTTCCAAAAAGATAACCACCATGATAAGAAAGAGAAGACTTTACATAAACTTCATCCACCAAAAGTATACAATTTCTATAATTTTCCTCTAAGTAGGAAAAAATGGTAGTAATAAAGTCAATATCTGAAACTTTTTTTGTCATAGATGTAGTTTTTGTTATTGTTTTTACACTTGTCAGTTTAAAATCTTTTCGTACCTGATTCTATAAGCATCAAAACGTTGAAAAATAACAAAAAGATATGATTATAGTTTCAACATTATAAATTTTTTTACCTACTTCTGATGCATTTATAGATGTAATAAGATCTTGTTATACCAACTTTTGATGATCAATTTTAATGTTGTTCAAAAAGCGAATTGTTACTTTAACTATTGACCAGCGATCAAGATATGTAATACGATCTTTTGATAGAGAAGAAGTAAAACAACGAACACCAGCATGAAAACTTTCAAATTTAAAATTGTTTGAGATATAAACAGCAAACATAGGTATACAGTTAACATAAAAGAAATTTGATTGGACGTGCAAAACATAATTTATAACAAAAGTTGTTACAGGACAAATAAATTTACGATTTTTAATATCTTCACATAAAAAATGAATATAAACAAATCGTTTTTAAATAATGCGACAACTTATCGCACTTTTCAGTTCTGATAGAAGACAACACTTTAGTAGTGGACCTTGGTTTTAAAGATTGAGTTGGTACAACACTAGCTAGAATGTTTGAAAAAATTGAAGGAGGTTCATTTGGTCTAACTTTCCCATTGACAATAGTTGTTAAAAAATTTTCTGGAAAATTTCTTTCACAAACAACAATATCTGATTTATTTGGAAAATTACTTCTTGGAATTAAATTTATCCAACGATTTCTTTCTTCTTCATTGGAGGGAAGCCTAAATACTCGTACTTCATTTTTAGCGTCATAGTTTCCCCTGCAATCAGGAACACAGCACTATTTAACCATTTATTGAAACAATCAATTACTCACAAATCAAACTAATATATATCTTTCCATAAGATTGTCCGCCCCCAGTCAAAAATACGGCTTCGCGAGGGAAGGTATGTAATAAGTATCGCCATGTATAAGATCAAAAAAAAATAACATGCGTACCCTTTCAGCATACTTAGAGCTTATATCATCGTTAGCTCAATTGTTAAATGCGCTTTCATCAGTGTAGTTTTGGAGAATAAAAGACCTACCCTGATATAATTTGAATATATTCAATCTTGCTGTGCTTACAGCAATATTAAAACGAAAATTTGTATTATAGTTTATATTTGTAATAATTATATTTACTATAACTATTGCTTATAGCAATATTTATAGCAAAGAAATATTTGTATAGCAAAAATATTTTGTAATTCTTAAAATAGATTCAAAAGTTTTTTTATCTTTGTAGATTTATTATATAAGATTGTTCCAAATACTGCGTGTAAACACAACATATGCTAAAGACATTTACTTTTACAGACGTTTGTACGCAAGGCTATATAAAATGTAGAATTTAGAAGATCTGAGGCCATTAAAAACTATAGATTATAAAACATTAAGGAATTGTCTAAAATTAACGCTAAGCTAAATTAATTTTTTAAAAATAAGAAGATTTTCAGTTCTATTAGATTTCAATTTTCATTAAACTTGATAAGCTACTTTGATTTTTTTTATTTAAAATACGACTCTGCGAGGGAAAATTCTGATCCTTTTTGTTTTGTTTATTATTGAAATTTAGCGATGCGTAATTTATGGACGATCCCATATTTAAAAGTTTAGATTAGGGATCAGCCAAAAGGTATATAAAGCCAAAAAAATGGAGTATAATATTATTTTAATAATTATCTATGTTCTGTCGTTATTGCACACTTGGTTTTGATTGTTTAACGGGGGTAGAAACTTCAATCACGTGACCTTTTCTGTGTGACAAGTTTAGAATAAAAACATCAGCAAATTTTTTGGAAACTTTATCGAGAGATGTTTGCACAGTACCTAATTTCAATTCCAATCGCCAGTTATATTTCAGTGGCAAAAATTAAAAAAAAAAAATGTTGATCTGTGAAGATTACACTTCAAAGTTTTTTAAAAAAGAATGTGAAAGATTTTTCAAGTTCTTTACTCTATAGTTTATTGTACTTACACTTTTTGAAAAGTACAAATACTGTATTAAATTGCTTTTTTTTGGTTCAAGCACATCAAAAAAGATTATTTAGCCTATTAAATTACAATATTTGATACTTGTTTTTTAGTAATTTTGTTTTTTAATTATGGACTTAACGATTATGAAAACAACACTTTTTATTATTTTATCGTTTTTTTTTTCTTGACGCGATTATGGTTCTTTGTTCAACCTACATAGCTAATTATTTAGGAAAAACTGACCTATATCTGGTTGCGTCCTTATTCAGGGCAACTTTTAAAAAATATTTAATGAAGGGTTGTATTGATTGCTTTAAAGTAAATATACAATAGTTAGACTTTATAATTTATAAATATGCAGATTAAAGTACTTATTTGACTCGTTAACTGCTTTAAAAACTTTTTTAAAAAATTGATAAATATTACATTCTGTAAAAAATATATATATATATATATATATATATATATATATATATATATATATATACAAAAAGAGAAAAAGAATGACCAAATAAAATAACTTCATACATATGTATGATATAGTCATAGAAAAATAGACATTTAATTTTAGACATTCATAACAATTCTATAATTAAATTTTTATGGTGTTTTATAGCACTTTTCCACCGATTAAAAAAATAAAAATAAAAAAACAGAAAATTCAACGAAAATTTAAAAACACAGAAGCCACCATAGAAAACACCGTTTACGAAATAATGAATCAATGATATCAGCAATCAAAGCTATAAAAAATGGAGATTCACAGCGAGCAGCCTGTAAAGTTTTTGTCATACTAAGATGCTTGTTACAAGTTTGACTTTTTTTGATTATTGGAAAAGGGTGTCAAACCTGGATTTCCAACTATTTTAGATAAAAAGAAATTAATTAATTTTGCATAAAATTGTGCAGCTTTAGAAATCAGATTTGGTCAATTGAAATTTCTAAAATATGCTGAAAAATTTGCTTTAAAGCATAAAAAGCATTCAAAAATGAAACTCCTACAGAAAGTAATTGCGTGGGATTTGCAAAAGTCAAAAAGATTTAACTTGATGTCAACCAGGAGGTACAGCAGCTATTAGATATCAGCGTTTGAGTGTTTGTTAAGTTTCCAAATATTTTTCCTTTCCTAAAATTGTGTTTACGGAAAACAAACTACTTCAGAAACCGCAAAACAT